TGTAAACATCAAGTTGAAATATACTGATGAACCTTCTTTGGTGAAATATGAAAGGCAAGCTCAGTTAAGTTATTAAATTACTTGTTTTATTCTGTTAAAATGCTTGACCTGCATATTATGGTTTACGAGGTCTCTGCAGAGAACCGTCCAGCACTTTCCACGGAGAGGACTTTTTGTTCTTATAAAAATGAATGTGATTTACTTTCTGAATACGTTTTCCAGCCTTGACAGCAGAGCATTGTTACAGGACTCAACTTTAAATGGCTTTTCCAAGCTCTTCACGTCATGGCAGCTACCATTACGTAGGCACGAGTTGCAGAAATGGCAAATATTTTGAAGTGGGGGGAGGCCTAGCCAAGGAACACATTAAGCATGTATTCTAAGTCAAGATTTCTGAAGTGGCTAATGCCTTTGTGAGCCCTAACATGATGTTAATGGACCGGACTTTTCAGAGGGTGAAAATCAGGCCCCCATTAAGATGTTCCAAATTAGGCACCCAAAATCACTAATTGTTTTTGAGCACCTTGACCTGGTATAAATATGCATCTCTGTATTACAACATAACTACCATGCTACTCCAAGTATGTCTACATTGCAGTCAGAGATGCAGATAACAATAGGAGTGAAGCTGCAGCAGCATGGGCTGTACAAGCTAGTTTGGGGACCTGGGGAATCTATTCAAGTGGCTAGTCTGTGCTGCTGTGGCTTCCCTGCTATTGTTCAGGCTAGTTAGATCACAGTTAACTTGGGTATGTCTAGACATGCTGCAATCATACCTCTGCCTGCAGTGTAGACGTACCCTCATGGGGCACAAGGTGGTATTTGCAGGCTCCCACAGGAATAGTAGAGTCTGCATTTTATAGATGATAGGTGGCAATAATGAATTTAAATCTTGAAGAAAAATGTGACCATCACAGTCACAAAAAGCAGCACCTTTGAAATGTCTTCCTGCTAAGTCTGACTCTTTTAGACACTTTAAAAAGGAAAGGTAATGAACATAAAAGACTAATGCTTTTAAATCTGCGTGTTTAATGGTTAAACCCCTTTTCAATAACACTTCAGCTGTCTAGATTAAAGACTAATTTTGTTTGGAATGCAAACTGTATTCTGTTATCTAATAGCTCTACCCCATAATGCCTTCACAGGTGGGGAAGGTTACTGCGACTAAGGTTTGTACTGATCAGAACCCTGCAATACAGCTACAAATGCTCCTGCGCAGCCATTTTTATCTGTAGCTTTCTTTTGTTCATGTGCTTTAAAACGTGTGCTTTTGTCCAGTTTGCCCTATAGCTCATTATTACACATGCCGTCCAGTTTGTAACATACATTAGGACCCATGTTTCATTTTGATAGTCACTTGCAAGCTTTTTTGAAAAGAATCCTCCTTAAAGTGTACCATGCAAATAATTAACACTCAATGTAATGCAGTTATCAGAACTACCACTTCTGGTGTCTAAAGTGATGTAGTGACCCATTTAAAATGTCTGTTCCCCTCCTTGGTTAACTTTTGCCAAACTGAAGAGTTGGGAGTTAGCGCAAAAAACTTTGCCACTCATATTTGGTTTCTAATGCAGCTTTTACACTAGGATTTTGATTATTTGGATTTTAACTGCTTGGAACTTACTCATACAAAGCACACACTGTTCATGAACTAAACCCCAATGCAGAAAAGCTCCTGGCAGCATCTCTTTGCATTCTGGCATGTTTGTATTTGCATTCTGTAAGGTCCTTAGCCTCCTTAATGGTGCTACAAGTCTCCAAAGAATAGGTCGTTTAGAAACTTGACAGTTGCCTAATGTAATGGCTTAGAGGCAACAAGTTATGGTGTGCTGAATAAACGGAGGCCACGTACCTGTGTTGATTACCCCAGAATGTGGTTATTACAGGATTTATGGACAATGCACTTTAATATTGTACTGAGAAGCTTAATTGTAATTGCAATTTCTAAATGAAACTACCACTAAACTGGCTGTCAAATTGCTGGAAGTGAACAGCTTTAAAAAAGGCTTTAATCTTTTGTCCTCTTCCATCTCACTCCCCCTCCCTTCTTCACAGGTCAGCCACATTAATCTCTCCAGAATAACAGCAAAATTCTGTTTCCAAATTGAATTGGGAAAATAGTGCTGAGGGGCTGGGATTCTTGCATTATGCTTGACAGTGAGTTATTCTGGGGATAAAGAGCTATGCTGACATGTAGTGGGAGAGCAAGGGCTGAGCCTCCTTTTCCAAATGTTGGATTCTGCAGTTTGACTATCTTGTTTGGGCTTTGGTGTATTTTTCCATATACATGGAGTTTCCTGCTTCATCCGAGGCAGTGGCTTTGTGGCTGGCAAACAGCTAAAAACTGAATTTTATTAGGTCAATCCCATAGGGTTATTTAGGAATAGCCATATAATTAAGCAGATCCCTCTCCTTTGGATAATAGCGATTCAGAATACAGGAATTTACTGATCTGTTGTAACATTAAATGATTATTCAAATGAGGCAATCACAACAGAGTACAGCAGTCTGCACAGCTGAGAGGTGTGGCTATATCAGTAACCATACAACACTCCTGCAAGTCTGTGCTGGGGAATTCCATCTGTTTAGTAAAAGAAGCCACTTAAAGCAGAACTAAAGTGTTCTTATAGTTTGATTTGGTCCATATATTTTCTTAATGTATCCAGGAACTGACTGCCAGCTGTATCTCAAATGATGCCATTTGTACAGTGTCAGACTGGAAAAGTTTAAGGCCACAAGTACTAAAGTAACGTAACAGTTAGTGAGCAAGCTTTAGCAAACCAGCCAGATAGAGTGGCTGATGTGAGCAATAGTACAAGAACTTTACTGGCATTATTACATGTAGGGAGAAGCAGGAGTGTTTATATTATTGGATTCTGTATTACATTTAGCAAGTGCATCCATGCATATATTTAGGAAGTATTCCAAGAAATCTCCTGGAAGCTAAGGAATTTGGAGAAAAGGCTGAATCTCAATGCTCAGGTTCACCCCTTGCAAGCCACACTGGGTTAGGATCAGCCACTCTTTGGAGACTAAAGAGACAATCATACAGACTATGGTGGAAGATAAAATTTCATCCTTAACCTAACATCTGACATCATACTACTTAAAAGCTATGGAGCAGTTACTCTTGTGACAGGTGTCCGAGGAGCAGCCCTGTTAGTCTGTATTCGCAAAGAGAAAAGGAGGACTTGGGGTACCTTAGAGACTAACCCATTTATCTGAGCATAAGCTGAATGCATCCAGTGAAGTGAGCTTTAGCCACAAGTACTCCTTTTCTTCTTATTACAGGTGCCCCTTAAAAGCACTTATTGTAAAGACCACTGGGCTGCTGTCGTTTTCATGAATTGGCTCCTTTGTTATATATTTGTAACTGATCCGTGTATATAGGCTGTCTTTTTTTTTTAACTTTATGCTTAATAATAAATAGCATACTAGGGAAAATTAGACTCTCACAAGCTGAAACTATGGAACTCCGAACTAAAATTGTCAAACATTTGAACTATAACCTCTATTATTTGAACTATATCATTTGAATATATCATATTTATCATTTGAACTATAACCTCTATCATATATTATTTGAACTAATATAGTTCAAATGTCAAACATTTGAACTATAACCTCTGAAAAGCTTGCAGGGGGTTTGTTATACCAACTCCTTAGTCATGCTTCAGGTTTGAGTAACTTCAAATCTTGTTTATGGTTGTAAGTAATTAGCTCTAAATTCTAATTGAAAATTTTATTAAACAATCTAGATGTTTGACCTGCATTATTCAATGTGAACTGAAATGGGAAAGTTTAATGGTAAGGAAAAGGCATTTGATTGGCCAAAGACATTGCTAGTTCATGACTGAATGTGCACTAATGCCCAATACTAACCTGTCAGCATAACGCCGCTTGCTTGCATTCTGAGTAATATAGCATGCAAAAAGAATGGCTCTTCTATTTTATGCTTGCCCTAAATTTAACAAATACTAAATGGATTCAAGACTAGAATGTAGTTCATGTTTTGCATCACTAATTTCTCATGTCCTATTTTACTGGGAGTCATAACATGAATGGATTTTATCTCTATTCTGAGTTGTATTTGAAGAAGCTGTGCCTTTTTACTATTTCTCTGTAGCAAAAAAAAAAATCTTACCCCATCATCCTCCTATTAATGGTCACCCTCCCTCTTCTAGTCCATCCTTCACAATGAAGTAGTGATGGGGAGCTCTCCTGTCCCATGCCTTCCCCTAGAGGTTATGACACAGTCTAACATGATTCTGCATAAAAGCCATTGGAATACTAAACTACTAGTGCAAATTCAATAGTACTAAATTTGTAGAAAATGTAAGGTGATAAGTGTGTAAGTGCTTCCAGGGCCACTGCCATTTTTAAAAAACTTTTTTTAAATCAGACTGCAGGGATGAACAAGGTATAAAATACTGAGATGGATTTGGAAAGTCTTTAATTGTAACTTGCAGTGTTGTAAACATATTGGTTCCAGGATATGAGAGACCAGATGGGTTAGGTAATACCTTGTATTGAACCAACTTTTGCTGCTGAAAGAGACATTTTCAAGCTACACAGAGCTCTTCTTCAGGTGTGGCAAAGAAGACCTCTGTGTAGCTTGCAAGCTTCTTTCACCAACAGAAGTTGGTCCAATAAAAGGTAGTAAAGAGCTCTTTACTAACATTTGAGTCTAGTAAGTAATGCTTGTGGTGATGGCAGTGTAAGAACCTTGTGTAGGAGTTCCTTTAATACTTTTTTTAAAAAGTACTTAAAATTGTAATCTCTTTATTTCAGTATTAAACAAAAATTATTTTGGTCTACCCTTGAAACAAGAAGAAATCTAATTTTTTTTTAGTGGTGGTTCACCTAAATATATAACTTTGTTTACCATGCTGCTTGTTCTAAAATCTGGAAGGTTTTTATTGTACCTTTTATTATTCTTATTCCTAACAGTTTAGGCGCTTTGGAATTAAGGATTAAAAAGGAACAATTTCACTTATCACTGAAATTCAGCCACTTTATGGATGGTACATGCTTTTATGTTTTCTTCACACAACACCATAGTACAAAAATTAGAGAAGGAAATGCATATCTGACTGGTTGAATCTACACAGTGAATTTAAGTAAGCTGAAAGTTATGTAAACTGGAATCCTATTACAAAAAGGGCCATGGGATCTTATGACTTCATGTGGTAAGGACCCGGTTAAGCGTTCTGCAAAGAGCTATCAGCGTAGGACCTTCGGGACTCCAGTGCCACCTATAAAGACAGCAGTATCACTGAACTGCAGTAACCTGGATTTTCTAGGCCGTTTTTTTCTGACACCCTTGAGCAAAGATTTACATAAATTTAATTTGTTGCTAAAGTGGGGAAGTAGCAGGAGTTATGCTCCTAAATTCTAATTCTACCTTTGCCACTGACAATCCCTGGGCCCAGATCTTCCATTTATGCATTTGTAAAACAAATAATACTTACCCATTGTTTCTGTTTGAGGCTTAGTGTTTGATATCTTTGAGCTCTTCAGGGGGGTTTAAATTGCCTCTCCATGAGCCAGAGGAATAAATTACTGATCTATGTCTTGAGAAACTGAAGTGTATGTGGCATATTATGAACACTTGGCTACTTTCCAAAACACTGAGGTGAATGCTTTCATTTAAACAGATAGCTGTTCTTTCTGGCTTTCTGTCCTGTTCCTAACAGCCACCAGAACTGCAAGATTCAGATCCCCTCTGTCACTTTCTGGATACCTCTCCTAGAAAGGGCCAGAACAAAACTCTCCCCTGTCATTGATCAAAGACAAACTACAAGATGTTCCCTACCAGCAAGGGGAAAGAAGCTGAACCCAACCCTTTCTTGGGACCATTAGTGTTGATTTTAAATATTTTCTTCTTCTGCCTGTAATAGACACCTTCCCTGGATATCATACATGTTCGTTACTTAAGTAATGGGGAGGTATTTCTATAATACTCTTTATAGAATGCAAAATTCATTCTTGTTTCCTCCAGAGTGGGTGTCTACAGCAGAAGCTGGGAATATTACAAGGCAGTGTAATTTGACATTGAAATGTTCAGTTCTTTTTTAGCTTGTTTCTGTCAGGCAGGTGACGATGGGGGTGGCTGGGAGGAGCTACCCAAACTTCATTCAGTTTTTCTGAAGTGGCTTGTGTGCATATGCAGGCCCTGAACTTGCAAAACCTCTGTTAAGCTGTTGTCCTACCTGGATCTGTTCCTTTCCCTTTGTTTATAAGGAAATATACCTGAGATCTAATGACTGTCCAGACACTATACATTTTATGTTTTCCTGCTTTTTTTGTAGACTCCAATTCCAATGTTCAAGAACCACTTAGTAGCCTCTCTTCAGAGCTTCCTACAGAGTCAGCAAGCAAGGAATTGCACAACCATCTCATGCTTAATGTTGACAATGATACAGAAAGCACTGCTCTGTAAAAGAAAACATGCTCCAAAACTTTTTAAAAAACCTTTCTGTCCTCATGGAAAAGTTGCAAATCAAGACCTAACAGTGAAAAGCTTTTTTTGAAGATATGGTGGAACTGTATGAAGGCTCTACTTACATGTAAGGCAATCTAACCATACAGAAGAAGTTTAATGATCTGTGTCTTGACAGTGGTTTCAAAAATCCTAGATGGGAAGAGTTGATTACTGTGGAAATTTACATAGGACGCTTAATTGCTGCTAATACAGATGGCATTAGCAGAAATCCCAAAAGAATAAAAAGCAGTGTATCAGTTACTATTTAAAGTGCATGTATGGAAATAACCTACTTAATGTCACTGTTACTTTTGTTCCTAGTTCTTAGACATTATATTAAAAAGGAGATGCCTTGCAAGAGACTTTCCCTCACTGACTTGCTGCAGACTTTTGTTTTTGTTAAAGTATGAACCAAAAAATGCCAGAATGCTGGTGGTGACTGCTGGTTATCAGTCACCTGTCAAAACTGTGGATGTATTCCAGTGCCTTGAAGGACTGTCATATCATAGAAAGAAACTTACTGTATCTTTAACCATTTTATTGCTACTTTAAGTACTGACCATTATCTGTATGTCATAGTTATTTGTATTAACCATACCTGCTTTTTATGTGAAACTGTGGAAATGTTATGCTTTCATTTAAATTGGCTGAATTTTGAACATCTGTTTGGATTCATCAGTTGAGTGAACATTTATAAAATTAAAGGATTCTGTCTTTTGTTGTTTGAAGGCCTATTTATTCCAGTATCCAAATATAACTAACTTCTCCATGCATTTTTGTGATCCACTGAAAACACAATAGGACTTCAGTGCTGAGCTTTAACTGCTACTCTTTAAAGTGGCTACATCTGAGACCTGGTGCCTGTTAATTATTCAACCACAGAAAGTATGGCTGAGTGCTCAACTGATCTATCTTTCATAGACTATGCAAGAGAGAGAGAATCCTAGGACTGGAAGGGACCTCAAGAGGGACCATCTAGTCCAGTCTCCTGCACTCATAAGCAGGGCAAAGTATTATCTAGGTGGTTTTCTAGACCTTTAGGACTATCATACAAGTATGATTAATTTGTATTCTTTTGTATACAAGCTCATGCACTACCCATGTCCATTTGACCCTGCCTCTGAATTTTTTGGTATAACTCATGCACAGTGATTGTCACATTCCATAGTTTCATCCTGTCCTTGAAAGACTGTCTATTCACATTTCATATGGCAGATAACACATGCCTTACATTGAAGCCCTTTTCCTGACCCTCTCCTACTGCATAGAAGCTCCTCTTTCATACTTCCACTGGTCTCCAGAAAGAATGTCAGGTTAAAAGTGCATGGTCTCTAAAAGATAAGTGGATCCAGCATTCATGGTAGCTTGTTCACGTTGTTACTTGTAGAATTCAAGGGGGCCTTGAAGCGTGTTTTGTAAATAATGAAAACATGACATAATGCTAAGGAGGAAGTACTTTAGTGTATCATGGATACAAGTGACAAGGGGTAGGCCACACAGTTTCTGTGAGGAAGAAAAGATGAAAGCCTTAATCATTGAAATGGAATTGAGCCAATATTCATACAAGCAGCTGAAAGTGATTTCTTTAACCCTGCAACTCAAACTAGCCTGTTAGTCAAAATATCAGACTAGCCCTTCGGGTTAATTGGGGGAACATGCTACCTCTTATAGGCCTTGTAGATTACACTTCAGTCCTGCAGCCCTCTAGTACTGTAGGGGGATAGGAGTGGTGTATTTCAGAATGGCTTTGTCTCCCACATTGAAAACAAGCTTATTCTAATATAGGTTCTGGAGCAAGGCTTCCCCCATCTACTTAGCCTCACTGCTCCCCTCACAGAGCAGAAAAGGTCTTGAGCATCCTTTCAGGAAAGCAGCTTGCATTCCTAGCCACCTTTCCTGGCTGGATTGGGAGGGGCAGAGCTATAAGCAACATGGTGACAATTGCAGGGACCTGTGTCACTGTGATGAACAAAATGGGCAACAGTTCTTGTGAAACCACCTTTACTTCTGATTTTTCCTCCAAGACTGAGTTTTGCGCTCTTCTCTTTCCCTCCCCCCTTCAATATGCACAGTTGGAGGGTCTAATCAGAAGCATTAAATGTCCACTCCTATTGAGCCCCTAAAAGGGGAGGAGATGGTGTTACCACTAAGACTAAGCATCAGGTCAAGATTCTAATCTTGTGCCCCTCAGGCACACAATCACATGCTGCAGCTGGAATGAAAAGCTCATTACTGTACTTGTGAAAGGACAATATTAAATATTTTCAGAGGAGGTGGTGACTTCATGGAATAACTTTAAAAGGCAACATTTGTTTAGAAGAGTTCTTAACAGGGAAGGAATCTCTTGTTAATAGGTACACTCAATTACAGTAATTCTCCAGGTTCCACTACCTGTTAGCATCCTTATACTTTCCCATAAATTCACCATTATGTGAGCTAGAAGTTTGGTTCCATAGGGTTCGTGTTTTGTACTATCTGCCCTCTAAACAATTCATCCCAACTAATTGCCTTGTAAAACTGCAGAAGTACCTGAAGCCATGGCAGGCTGTAAAGGATTGTTATACATTTTCAGAAATGCTTCTGGACTCATAAATTCTTTTGCCTTGCACAAGTAGTTAATTGTTTCTGCTGGGATTAGAAGTTCTGGAACAAGGGTGTGTAGATTGTCACCAAGTCCCTTACTGCTCACCTGTGTGTGAAATAAAATTATAGTACTTCAGCGCAGTTAGACTTTTATGTTACAAATTCATTAAATACACCCAGGGCATTCCTATCCCCCAATGAAGGGAATGTGCTAAAGGAAGCATGTCTGATTTATCTTCCCTATTTACAAGTGGTGTTCTTGCTCTGCTCAGAACAATGGATCAGGCTGAGCTGGGTAACCAGAATTTAGAGGGTAGCTTAGCCCATGAGGTTGAAGAATGAAATTTGTATGGTTTTCAGCTTGTTAATGCAGTCAGTGATGGACTGAAAAGGTGTCACCAGTGGCTGCACCAAACAAGCTGGTGTAGTTTGGAAGACCGAGGTTTGAAATAAAAGCCAAGTGTTTTCTTCATTCCTCTCACTACACCATTCTAGAGTCCAAGGAGAAAGGCAGGTCAATGCACAGCAAGATGAGACTAAACCAGGACTTATTTGCATTAGTAAACTCATATAGTTTTGAAAAAAAGTTAATTTAGAATAGTAACTTGAACATTCTATTTTAATGTAAGTTTCACCTTAAAAGTCTTTGAAAGGTATGTTCCCAGTTTGAGGAGGAGTGTAAGACATTCAGTGACCACCTCTTCTGTAGACTCTGATTGTGTCACATCTTCCAGGTATGTCACAGGCAGTATCACCATTGTGACATACCACTGCAGGAAGAGCCTGGTTGGGATGTTATGTGACACCACTAAAATCTTAATTTCCTGTAACAAAGCACTAAGTGAAGAAAGTTAGCTGTAGTCTGAATTCCATCATTCTTCTGTACACATAAACGGTTTCTGACCAGACATGGTGTATTTCATAAACTGGCAATGTTTGATTACTTGCATCATATAGACCATCGCTATTTTTAACATCGTTTTTTTTTTAAACTTCCTGCCTATATTAGTGATCACCTAGTTCTATTTTGGATCTAACTGTTGATATGGTCTCCTTATCTTACCACATCTTAAGGCTCTTATCTTGAAGAGTAATTATATATTGTGGGGTGTGGTTTTATATTTATATATTATAGATGTGTGGTTTTGACTGGTAAAAGTTTATACATCTGATGAGTTTGACTAGGACAGCAGTCAATTACAAAATGAAAGCAAATGCCTGAGATATTTTCAGCATGTTAATAGTGTCTCCTTTACTGCATCTTGTGCTGGGGTGTACTCTCCAAGCTGCCACTGCAAGAACTGAATTAGGCCAGGTGGGCTCAATCACCCAATTAAGCTGTGAATTGGGGATATTTAGGCTGTGTGGAGGGAGCTAATTAGAAGAAGGCTCAAGATTGAGGGAACATGCAGGGCTTTCATAAAGCCAGGAAGGCAGCAACAGTGTGGGGAGCAGCAGCGAGGAAGCCTGCAGGAAGGGAGAAGGAAGGGGGAGAAGATGCATGGTGGGTGAGAGCAGTAAAGTTGATATAGACACACACCTTGATTGCTTGTTGAGGGTCCTAGACTCGAACCCAGGGCAGAGGGCAGGCCTGGGTCCCTCTGCCATCTGCTGCAGAGTGGCACAGCCTGAGGCAGTGAATTGGAAGGCTGCCTGAGTCAATGCAGGAGTGACCCAGTTAGGGCAGTGGGTGTGAGGATTGCATGACACTGTTGGTGGCAAAAGGCTTTGAAAGACCCCCCTGAAGAGGGAAAAACAGTGAGCTGGGCAGAGGGCTGAGTCACGAAGCAGCATGCTGCAACTCTGAGTGGGAGGAGAGCTGCAACAAGGGAAGAGAAGAAAGGGGGTGCTGAACTAGGCAGAGCTAATTGCCAGAAGAAGGTGCCACCCAGTGGCTAGTGGAGCACACAATGTCATACCTGTTCTTGTTCAAAGCACAATTTGGAAACTGTATAGCCAAATTAAATGCTAGGCATTGGATCTCAGAGGGCAGGAGAACTGCAAACAACTGAAGTCCAAGGAAAACAGAGAAATTTCAATGGAGGAGTTTGCCAACTTTCTTAGTACTCATTCCCACCTATCCAGTTTTGTATGGGATACTGAAGAGGAGGAAAAGAGCCATTCCTCCTTTCAAAAGAAAGAGGCATATGGCACCTGAAGAACAAGGAAGGATAAATACAGATAAATCTAAATGAGGAAAATATTTTTCACACTAAAATTAAAACGTAACCCACTCCATGGTCTCTCAGTGTTCAGCAGGGGGAAATACTAAGCTATTTCTCTCTAATAATTATACTGAATGCTCATTTTAACCCTAACAAATTCATTGTCATTCCTGCATTAAAAGTTACTTCCACATGAGCTGGTTTCTTTGAGCTCTTCTGAAACACTTACCTGGAGCCTTGCTTCTGGAGAGAAGCTAGAGCTTGGAGGATATGATATAATGTGCCGCTGGAGGACTGCAAAGGAAAAAGTGGGGTTGTTACAAAGGTTCAGTGTAAAAAACAACTGAATATAAAAATAACTGATCAGATGGTATTGGTGTATGATGAGCTTCCAAGCTGGATCATAGATGCTGAGGTGGAAACACTGCAAAGTTCAAGTGCTCAGCCAGAGCTGGGGGGCACTATTCCCTCTGGTACTGATGGACTCTACAGAGAATGTTGTCCCGTCTTCTTCACTCAGAATTGCAAATTGGGGGCATTACTTGAATAGATTGGAACAACATGGACAGTCCTAGAGACAACTGATTCTCAGTCACTAACCCCACCAGTAGGGCTGTAGATTCATCACAGTTAACTCACACGATTAATTGAAGTTTTAATCGCACTGTTAAACAATAGAATACCAACTGAAATTTATTACATATTTTTGGATGTTTTCTACATTTTCAAATATATTGATTTCAGTTACAACACAGAACACCAAGTGTACAGTGCTCACTTTATATTTTTTTTTTTACAAATATTTGCACTGTAAAAATATTTTTAAGTTCACCATATATAAGAACTGTTAATGCAATATCGCTCATGAAAGTTGAACTTACAAATGTAGAATTATGTACCAAAAAACTGCATTAAAAATAAAAATGTAAAACTTTAGAACCTACAAATCCATTCAGTCCTACTTCTTGTTCAGGCAGTCACTCAGACAACAATGTCACCTGACAGTGAGAACAGGCATTTGCATGGCACGGTTGTAGCCGGTGTCACAAGATATTTACATGCCAGACGCACTCAAGATTCATATGTCCCGTCATCTTCAACCACCATGCCAGAGGATATGCGATCATGCTGATGATGGGTTCTGCTCAATAACGATCCAAAGCAGTGCAGACTCATGCATGTTCACTTTCATCATCTGAGGCAGATGCCACCAGCAGAAGATTGATTTTCTTTTTTTGGTGGTTCGGGTTCTGTAGTTTCCACATCAGAGTGTTGCTCTTTTAAGATTTCTGAAAGCATTCTCCACACGTCGTCTCTCTCAGATTTTGGAAGGCACTTCAGATTCTTAAACCTTGAGTCGAGTGGTGTAGCTATCTTGAGAAATCTCATATTGGTACCTTCTTTGTGTTTTGTCAAATCTGCAGTGAAAGTGTTCTTAAAACGAACAGTATATGCTGGGTCCTCACCGGAGACTGCTATAACATGAAATATATGGCAGAATGCGGGTAAAACAGAGCAGGAGACATACTATTCTCCCCCAAGGAGTTCAGTCCAAATTTAAGGCTTGAAAGTTTTACAGTTTTATTTTTGAATGCAGTTCTGTAACAAAAAAAAAAAATCTACATTTGTAAGCTGCACTTTCACGATAAAGAGATTGCATTACAGTTCTTGTATGAGGTGAATTGAAAATATGATTTCTTTTATCGTTTTTACAGTGCAAATATTTGTAATAAATAAAATAAATAAATGGCATTCCATTGTTTAACAGTATGATCCAATTAATTTTTTTAATCATGCAGTTAATCACGATTATTTTAATTGCTTGACCGCCCTAATTTTAAGGTTCTAGTCCTTTTCTTTAAAGCCTTAAATGAACTAGACCCTTAGAGCCTGCCTTGCACTACATTCACTACATCAGCTAGGGTTGACAGGGATGGTTGGACAGATAGCACCCAGGGTGTTTGCACAAGAATCAAGGATACAGCTTTCACTGTGGGAGGCCCACAAGCTTATAGAATGTATTACCCAAGGAGATTTACTTAACCTACCTCTAGTATATGAAGAATGGAGCTGGGATAGAGGAGAAGTAGACCTGAGACTGGTTCTCCAAGGTGGTATTTTAATATGTTCTGAAACAGTCTTTCATGGTAACCTTATTTAAAAAACACAGGATTGGCTGTCATGTGGGAATATAGTGTACAACTTCAGAAAACTAGCATTTCACCTCACCCTATGCTATAGTCATAATGTCAGAGGCCATCAAAAAATGCGGTGAGTGAGCTGACTCTTTAAATCTAAGAAGAAACATTAAAAATAGTCATTGGCTTGGGAGTCTATTCTCTTCCTATAGGCACAAGACTCCCTAGGTTTTTTGAAAATGGCTTTGCTCAAGTATCATATTCAGTAAAATTGGGGCCAGCTAATCAGATTGATTAATGGCTAATATAATTAATATAACATTTCAGCAATAGGCTTAATCTTAACATGGTTCACCTAAAACTGTTGTACTTGGTGTATTAGCTGAGGCATGTAGCAAAGAGTGCCCAGAATTTCCCCTAACAATTGTTGCATTGAATGCTTAGCTCTGTCTTTGTTGTTGTGGTTGTTTTTTTTAACTGTGCAGCACCCAAACGCCATACAGGTTGGGAATGCTTTAGAAATAACTCTGTGGGAGTTTTACAAATCCACATGGATAAGAATCCTTGCCTCTGGCTGTTGCAGCTAAATGTGTAGCTGTTTGATAAAGGCACCAATAACTACTGCATCCTCATTCATCAAGGTATTCAATATACATATACTAATCATTTGGTTTAACAGAAACAGTCATAATTGAATGTAGGTCATAGAATCAGTCTCCTGCTCTGAAAATAAAGATCTCCCCGTTCCCTTCAGGGTTGCTTATTGATAGCTGTGCTCTCATTTGCTCCAGTATTTAGTACTAAGCAAGGACTCTTGACAAGTGATAACTTTTTATTGCATTAGTATCTAACCAAATGGTAGGTTCATCGGTACTCCCACCCTGTAAATAGACTACTGCTTTATTGCCAGTCCATTATCTGTAGGTTACTTACCCTTTGTATGAAACATTTGCTATAACTGTGTAGTGGCTACAGCTTTGGACGGATGCTTAACAAAAAAAACTGAAAGAAAGGGGGAAAAAAATAAAACGCTAGGTATGGAATTAGAAGTGAGCTGTAGCTCACAGAAGCTTCTGCTCAAGAGGATGATCAGGCTGACATCTAGGGGCTGTCCCTGACCATAGCAGCATAAATCTTCAACTGTTACACCACTGTGAATGCATCACAGTAACTGCTACTTTCCATATTTTATTTGGAGTTCATGCCAAGTCTGATCTCTTTGAGGACAAAGCCAGCTCCCTCTGGTGTGTAACTGAAAAATCACCACCTACTGTAGAGAAGAAATGATTTAATGAATCACCGAAACCAGTACCATGGTGTGATAGCAGAAGGAAATGTCAACTACTTTCACACACTTCTTCTCCAGTTGGGGTTATGAAGTAATTGGTGTGTTGAGGGTTTGTTTTTTTTTTAAACTGTTTGTATTTATCACTTGTCATACCAAAAAAAAAAAGAAGGGTATGTTGAAAGGCTGCTATCTTTCTTTAACATATACTGCAGCCATCCCTGCCCCCTCTGCATACATGATGCATTGGATTTAAATCCAAGCGGTGCTGCTTAATTCACAATACTTAGTTCCACTGTCTTCAAAATAAAGTGAGGTCACGGTGCTCATCTTTTCCTTGTTGGTGATGAAGCTGTGAAAACAATGGATTCAGGTCCTCTTCAGCCATGACGCTGGTGTGTGGCTGACAACAACAGACAGGGCCCTGAGGGCTGGGAGGGTGGGAAACAGGCAGCAGCACTTTAAAAGTGCGTCTTTTACCTGATATCACAGGTTTGCTCTAGGTGTTAGGGGATAGGTATGCAGACGAATTTATGATTTATAATGGCATAAATGAGAAATGTATTTGTACAGCAAGCTTTGTTCTACCAGCCTCTAATTACTTCAGCAATGAATAAACCTGGTCTTGGTGGTCATATAATTAATTCCTTTCAGGATCAGCAATATATCTGGACTTACCTTAAAGGCAGTTTAGCTTTATTATAGGAGCCAAAGAGACTGGTGTATTCTCCCATGCCAGGTCTGAAGTGGTCGTTATTTAAGTTGTCATTAAAGCTGTATTGGGAACTCTATCCTCACTTTTAAAAAAAACCAGGAGTCCTTGTGGCACCTTAAAGACTAACAAATTTATTAGAGCATAACCTTTCATGGGCTACAGCCCACTTCACTGGATGCATTGAATGGAACATATAGTAAGAAGATATATATATACACATACGGAGAAGGTAGAATTTGCCATACAAACAGTAAGGGTATGTCTACACTACGAAATTAGGTCAAATTTATAGAAGTTGTTTTTTTAGAAATCGTTTTTATATAGTCGATTGTGTGTGTCCCCACACAAAATGCTCTAAGTGCATTAACTCGGTGGAGTGCTTCCACAGTACCGAGGCTAGCGTCGACTTCCGGAGCGTTGCACTGTGGGTAGCTATCCCACAGTTTCTGCAGTCTTCGCCGCCCATTGGAATTCTGGGTTGAGATCCCAATGCCTGATGGGGCAAAAAACATTGTCGCGGGTGGTTCTGGGTACATGTCGTCAGGCCCTCCCTCTGTGAAAGCAACGGCAGACAATCGTTTTGCACCTTTTTTCCTGAGTCACCTGTGCAGACGCCATACCATGGCAAGCATGGAGCCCACTCAGCTCACTGTCACCGTACGTCTCCTGGGTGCTGGCAGATGTGGTACTGCATTGCTACACAGCAGCAGCAACCCATTGCCTTGTGGCAGCAGACGGAGCAATAGGCCTGATAACCATTGTCATCGTGTCCGAGGTGCTCCTGGCAGCCTTGGTAAGGTCGGTCAGGAGCGCCTGGGCAGACATGGGTGCAGGGACTAAATTAGGAGTGACTCGACCAGATCATCCTCTTTAGTCCTGCCGGCAGTCCTATTGTACCATCTTATGGCGAGCAGGCAGGAGATGAGGATGGCTAGTAATCCTATTGCACCATCTTCTGCCAGGCAGGCAGGACATGAGGATGGCTAGCAGTCCTACTGCACCGTCTGCTGCTAGCCAAAGATGTAAAAGACAGATGGAGTGTCAGTGTGGGAGGACAGCATGAGCTCAGAGAACATTTCATCGCAAGTGCGTTTTTTTCGCCTTCTAATCTTCACTAGCCTCTGGGAAGGAGAAGATTCTGTGATCATTGAAACACATGCAGCTGGTGGAGGAAAAAAAAGGGACAGTGATATTTAAAAAGACACATTTTATAGAACAATGGGTACACTCTTTCACGGTAAACCTTGCTGTTAACATTACATACATAGCACATGTGCTTTCGTTACAAGGTCGCATTTTGCCTACCCCCACCACGTGGCTAGCCCCTCCCCTCTCCCTGTGGCTAACAGCGGAGAACATTTCTGTTCAGCCACAGGCAAACAGCCCAGCAGGAAAGGGCACCTCTGATGTCCCCTTAAGAAAAGCACCCTATGTCAACCAGGTGACCATGAATGATATCACTCTTCTGAGGATAACACAGAGAGATAAAGAACGGATGTTGTTTGAACGCCAGCAAACATACACTGCAATGCTTTGTTCTACAATGATTCCCGAGTACGTGCTACTAGCCTGGAGTGGTAAAGTGTCCTACCATGGTGGACAGAATAAGGCTGCCCTCCCCAGAAACCTTTTGCAAAGGCATTGGGAGTACATCCAGGAAAGCTGCGAATGCCAGGGCAAATTAATCATTAAACACGCTTGCTTTTAAACCATGTATAGTATTTAAAAAGGTACACTCACCAGAGGTCCCTTCTCCGCCTGGTGGGTCCAGGGGGCAGCCCTGGGTGGGTTTGGGGGGTACTGGCTCCAGGTCCAGGATGAAAAACAGTTCCTGGCTGTCGGGAAAACCGGTTTCTCCGCTTGCTTGCTGTGAGCTATCTTCCTAGTCCCCAAAACCTGCTTCCGTGTTGCCTCCATCTCCACTGAAGGAGTCAAACAACACGGTTGGGGTAGTGGTGGCTGAACCCCCTAAAACTGCATGCAGCTCATCATAGAAGCAGCATGTTTGGGGCTCTGACCCGGAGCGGCCGTTTGCCTCTCTGGTTTTCTGGTAAGCTTGCCTCAGCTCCTTAAGTTTCACGCGGCACTGCTTCGTGTCCCTATTATGGCCTCTGTCCTTCATGCCCTGGGAGATTTTGACAAATGTTTTGGCATTTCGAAAACTGGAACAGACTTCTGATAGCACGGATTCCTCTCCCCATACAGCAATCAGATCCCGTACCTCCCATTTGGTCCATGCTGGGGCTCTTTTGCGATTCTGAGACTCCATCACGGTCACCTCTGCTGATGAGCTCTGCACTCACCTGCAGCTTGCCACGCTGGCCAAACAGGAAATGAAATTCAAAAGTTCGCGGGCCTTTTCCTGTCTACCTGGCCAGTGCATCTGAGTTCAGAGTGCTGTCCAGCGCAGTCACAACGGAGCACTCTGGGATAGCTCCCGGAGGCCAATACCATCTAAGTGCATCCACAGTACCCCAAATTTGACCCGGCAAGGCCAATTTCAGCGCTAATCCCCTTGTCGGGGGTGGAGTAAGGAAATCGATTTTAAGAGCCCTTTAAGTCGAAAAAAAGGACTTCGTCGTGTGGATGCGTGCAGGGTTAAATCAATTTAATGCTGCTAAATTCGACCTCAACTCCTAGTGTAGACCAGGGCTAAGAGGCTAATTAATTAAGATGAGCTATTATCAGCAGGAGAAAAAAAACTTTTGTAGTGGTAATCAGGTAGACAGTTGACAAGAAGGTGTGAGGATACTTAACATGTGGCCTCTTACAAATTGTATGGCAAATTCCACCTTCTCCGTATGTGTATATATCTATCTTCTTACTATATGTTCCATTCAATGCATCCGATGAAGTGGGCTGTAGCCCACGAAAGCTTATGCTCTAATAAATTTGTTTGTCTCTAAGGTGCCACAAGTACTCCTGTTTTTTTTTGGGGGGGGGGGTTGCGCATACAGACAAACATGGCTGCTACTCTGAAACCTCACTTTTTAAATGAACTATATAGAACCCAGGAGAGCAGCTGTTTCTGCTGGGTAGCCCTGAAATTTCTGCTACTCCTCACCTACCAGAGTCTGCATCCCCAGGGCAAGTATCTTACAAGTTAAATAGTCAAAAGGCAGATTGATGAAAAGATATTATTGTACCTGTAACCTCTCGCCTGTCTGCTCTTTCTGATAGCTTGGCAACAAAAAATAACCTGTGCAGCAGGAACTTCTAGCCAGGAAAGAAAACCAGACATGTTTACCTAAAAGCTGTTATTCACAGGCACTGATCACTTTTAACTGTGTACTACTCAAGTATTTGAGCACTTCCTAAGCATTAATGAAGTTAACCTAACAACTACATTGTAAAGAAGGGAACGGAAGGAAAGAAGTAACATGTCCAAGGTCACACTGCAAAGGTGGGGAAGAGGTGGGACCAGAAAGGAATCCAGACTCTTTAGGGGCTGATTCTCCACTGTTTTGCAATTTATTTGTATTACCATCCTACCTAGGAGCCCTCATGCTGTTATTTATCTCTGTGCAAGATGGGTGCAATCCACTGCTAGTCGGGCCTGGTAGCATTGTACATTGTCTTGCATAGGGGTAAATGACTGCACAAGGTCATAAAATGGAGAGAATCAGGCTCTTTCTTTCTCTCATTCGGCTAAATTACTCAGTTTCAGAAAGCTCTGTCTGTGGGAGCAAAATGGCATTGCAAAGAAAGAGACCTACCAATAGCTGGTGCATGAATTTATCAATCTATCATCTCTCTACAAAAAATCCTGGTCCCCACTCGGAGACCCAAAGCGGTGACTCCAGCCCCCACTAAGGCTCACAGGCACCATGGAGGAGTGAGTTAGAAATAAGCTGGGCGTTGTTTCTGTACCAGGCAGCAGGGAGTCAAGGGCCTGGCTGGGAATGGTGCCAGCCGACAGGCTCCAGCGAAGAGGGTGTGGGGGGACAGAGGAGAGAACCGTGGGCCTGAGGGTGTAAGGTGGTCTGTGGGCCCCATGCAGCGATGGGGCTCTCTAGTGGGGAGGGGGGTGCAGGGACAGGCCACTGCCTCTGGGCGACAGCTGGCCTGCTTCCTCTGACAAAAACAGCAGAAGCTGGAGGACAGCCCCCCGGTCTCCTCTACCACCACCCACCCCTCCCCCCAGCCTCCTCCACCTCTCACCCCCTCCTCGCCCAAACTACCACCCGCCCCTCCTCCAACTACCCCCTCCCCCAGCTTCCTCTACCCACCCACCCACGCACTCCCCAATCTACTCCAGCCCCCAACTCTCACCCCCTCCCCTCCTCCAACTCCCCATCTCTCTCCCCCTCCCCCAGTCTCCACCCCCCACCACATTCTTCAATCCACTCTCACCCCCTCCCCCCAGCCACCACCCCCCCACACCTCGCCCGACCCCCCACACCCCATTCCTCAATCCCCTCATGCCCCCTCCCCCCAGCCTCCACCCCCCCACACCCACACATTGCCCGACCCCCCCACCCCATTCCTCAATCCCGTCTCACCCCCTCCCCAGCCTCCACCCCCCCACACCCACACAATGCCCGACCACCCCACCCCAATTCCTCAATCCCCCTTGACCCCTCCCCCCAGCCTGCACCCCCCTACACCCACACACTGAGGAACGGGGTGGGAGGGGGTCGGGCAACGCGCGGGCGTGGGGGGGGGTGGAGGCTGGGGGGAGGGGGCGAGAGGGGACTGAGGAACAGGGTGGGGGGGGCGGGCAACGTGCAGGTGTGGGGGGCGGAGGCTGGGGGGAGGGGGCGAGAGGGGACTGAGGAACGGGGGTGGGGGGTCGGGCAACGTGCAGGTGTGGGGGACGGAGGCTGGGGGGAGGGGGCGAGAGGGGCCTGAGGAACGGGGTGGGGGGTCGGGCAACCTGCGGGCGTGGGGGGGGGCTGAGGCAGGGGGCGAGGGGGGATTGAGGAACGGGGTGAGGGGGTCGAGCAACGTGTGGGGGTGGGGGGGTTGGAGGCTGGGGGAGGGGACGAGAGGGGATTGAGGAATGGGGTGGGGGGTTTGGAGGCTGGGGGAAGGGACGAGAGGGGATTGAGGAATGGGGTGGGGGGGTCAGGCAAAGTGTGGGTGTGGGGTGGCGGAGGCTGGGGGAGGAGGCGAGAGGGGATTGAGGAATGGGGTGGGGGGGGTCGGGCAATGTGTGGGCGTGGGTGGGGCGGAGGCTCGGGGAGGGTGTGAGAGGGGATTGAGGAATGGGAGGGTCAGGCAATGTGTGGGTGTGGGGGGCTGGAGGCGGGAGAGGGGGCGAGAGGGGATTGAGGAATGGGGGGGTTGGAGGCAGGGGAAGGGGCAATGTGTGGGTGTGGGGGTTGGGGGAGGGGGCGAGGGGGGATTGAGGAATGGGGTGGGGGGTTCAGGCAATGTGTGGGGGTGGGGGGGTTGGAGGCGGGGGAGGGGGCGAGAGGGGATTGAGGAATGGGGGGGTCGGGCAGTGTGTGGGTGTGGGGGTTGGGGGAGGGGGCGAGGGGGGATTGAGGAATGGGGTGGGGGGTTCAGGCAATGTGTGGGGGTGGGGGGTTGGAGGCGGGGAGAGGGCGAGAGGGGATTGAGGAATGGGGGGTCGGGCAATGTGGGGGTTGGGGGAGGGGGCGAGAGGGGATTGAGGAATGGGGTGGGGGGTTCAGGCAATGTGTGGGGGTGGGGGGGTTGGAGGCGGGGGAGAGGGCGAGAGGGGATTGAGGAATGGGGGGGTCGGGCAATGTGGGGGTTGGGGGAGGGGGCGAGGGGGGATTGAGGAATGGGGTGGGGGGGTTCAGGCAATGTGTGGGGGTGGGGGGGGTTGGAGGCGGGGGAGAGGGCGAGAGGGGATTGAGGAATGGGGCAGGGGGCGTCGGGCAATCCCCTCTCGCCCCCTCCCGCGCGGACCTTGAGCTGCAGCCGCCGCTTCTCCTCCAGGGCGCCGAGCAGGTTGCTGCGCGGGATCAGGGCGGGCACCAGGGACTCGGCCCGGACCGACCCCTTCGTCCGCGACGGGTGGGCGCCCGACATGGCGGCCCCGAGCGCCCCAGAGAGCGGCCCGGCGGGGGGGGGGGGGGGCGGCCGGCCCGGTGCCGTGACCCGCGGCGGGCGGGGCGCGCGCTCATGCCCGGGGGAGGCGGGGGGGGCTGAGCCCTCACGCGGGCGGGAACTCAGCGCCCCCGGCCGCAGCTGCCGGCTCTGACCAGCCCCCCCGCAAACCCCAACGGCCGCTGCCGGCTCTGACCCCCCCCCACAAACCCCAACAGCCGCTGCCGGCTCTGACCAGCCCCCCCCCCTCCCCCGCAAACCCCAACGGCCGCTGCCGGCTCTGACCAGCCCCCCCGCAAACCCCAACAGCCGCTGCCGGCTCTGACCAGCCCCCCCGCAAACCCCAACAGCCGCTGCCGGCTCTGACCACCCCCCCCCCCCCCCCCCCCCCCCCCCCCCCCCCCCCCCCCCCCCCCCCCCCCCCCCCCCGCACCCCCCCTCCCCCCGCAAACCCCAACGGCCGCTGCCGGCTCTGTCCACCCCCCCCCCCAACCCCCCCCCCCCCCCCACAAACCCCAACAGCCGCTGCCGGCTCTGACCAGCCCCCTCCCCCCCCCCCTCCCCCGCAAACCCCAACGGCCGCTGCCGGCTCTGTCCCCCCCCCACAAACCCCAACAGCCGCTGCCGGCTCTGACCCCCCCCCACGCCGCCCCCCCCTCCCCCCGCAAACCCCAACGGCCGCTGCCGGCTCTGACCACCCCCCCCCTCCCCCCGCAAACCCCAACGGCCGCTGCCGGCTCTGACCAGCCCCCCCCCCCGCACCCCAACGGCCCCCTCTACCAGCCCCCCCCCGCAAACCCCAACGGCCGCTGCCGGCTCTGACCAGCCCCCCCCCCTCCCCCCGCAAACCCCAACGGCCGCTGCCGGCTCTGACCAGCCCCCCCTCCCCCCGCAAACCCCAACGGCCGCTGCTGGCTCTGACCAGCCCCCCCACTCTCCCCGCAAACCGGGCGCCTGAGACACAGGGGAATGGCCGGGCCTTTGGACTCCGGCAGTTTGCGAGGCTGAAGTTATTCTTTACTGCGCCTGTGAGCCCCTCGCTGAGGTTTTATCCCATTGCCTCCCCCGGGCACAGGAGCAAACGAACCCGCCCTTCGCTCCGACTCGCTGCGGGGCGGCCGAGGAAACAGCCGGCGGGAAACTAGGTTGGAATTCCGCAATCTGTGGATGCAGTTTCCCACTGGCCGACTTACTCCATGCAGAGTAATAAATAAACATGTTTTTATTAACACGGGCAAGGGATTTTTAAAAGGACAATACATTAAGTTGCTCATGAAATACTCTGGTTGTAATAATACCTAAATTTATTTTAAAAAAAATTAAAGGGACATTGTCAAAATCTCTTATACACATATGATCCTCTCTCTCTCTCTCTCTGTCTGATGAAGTGAGCTGTAGCTCACAAAAGCTTATGCTCAAATAAATTTGTTAGTCTCTAAAGTGCCACAAGTCCTCCTTTTTACCAACACCTGACACTATTGTCTGAGAGGATTTAAGAAGCCTACTATATTGTTCAACACTGATGCTGTTTTACTTTTTGAGCCATACACTCACACTTGACAGTGAAATTATGCTGTCTTGTATTTTTTTAGTCAGTGTCATTTTCTAGTCCACATAGGCTACCTCAGCATTGTGTTTGGATTTACAGCCCTGCAGAAGATTTAACTTCCCACACTAAGAAACTCACTGACTTTTTAAAAATGTATGCAAAGAATTAAAAAAAAAAATCTATTAATTTTAGTGCCAACTGTATTACAGAAATGCCAACGGAACCTAATGAGCTGTACAACATAGGCACGCACGCATTTATCCACCTTACATGTACATACATTTTGGTGTAATGTTTTGTTTTCCTTAATCTCTATATGCCAATACTGTCCCCATCACTACAGTATCTAAGTATCTTGCAAACATAAATATTGATCCTCACGACACTGCTTGGAGGTGGGGAAGGATTATTATCACCCATTCTTAAAGATGGGGGAGTTAAGGCACAGAGAAATTAAGTGCTTTACGCAGGTCAGGCAGGTCTCCTGAGTCCCTCGTGCTTTAAGTGCAAAACTATCAAGATGTGAAACATAACCAAACAAATCCCTTCTGCCTTCCAAACCTCCCCCAACCTCTTACACACATATAGCCTATCACTGTCTGGGGCCTGATATCATTGGTGCTGAGGCAGAAGATAAGGAACCTCAGCAACTCTCAGGAGCAAGCCCTTCATTAAGTGTAACTAAAATAGTTAAGTTTTTTTCCTATGAAATGTAAGAATGGATTACAAATCACACTAAACCATCATTAATTATATTATTATTATTTATACCCATCTTAATTCGGGGGCCTAAAATTAGTTGACGGTGTCCCTTGAATCGTCTGGCAAGCTGCTATGCAAAGTAGCCCCAGAGAAAGATGCCGGCACATATGCATAGTATCAAGTTGATGTTCAGAATGTGTTTCACCAAAGGCTGCTCATCCAGTGAAGCCAAAGCGCATTCAGGGCTGGTAGGCACTGTGTTCTCAGGAGGATGTTCTTGTTTGCTCTCCATCCCACAGAGCCACAAGAAGACTCTCATCAGTTTAGACCCTTTTTGAGTACCAGTCACACCTACAATGACAGTAATTAGTGAGGTAAAAACTCTGTCCATGGAACAAACTCTAGTAACACACTAGTGTTACAATATTGTACAAATCATTTTGACATTACTACACAGAAAACATATCAGAACTCTTCAAAGTGACACATTCGCTCCACCAAGTTCTAGGTAGCCATTACAGTAATTTCTATTTGTCACTTCAGTGTCATTCTTCTCTAAAGATCTGAATTCAAATCCTGCCATTCACAACAGTTTAAGGAAAGGTCTCAGTTAGCCAAGTCTAAAAACATGGCTGTGCTCATCATCTTCCATTTGTTTCTGTATGTTTGAACCCACTTTGGGCCAGGGCTAGTGAATGCAAGTTCCCCAAACTTAGGGTGACCAGACGTCCCGATAAAATTGGGACTGTCCCGATTTTTAGTTCTTTGTCCCGCGTCCCGACCGATGCGAGGTCAGGACACCATTTGTCCCGATATTGCGGCTTTGGCCACTCTGGACGCTTTTTCTTTTTTTGTTTTTTTTGCTTCCCCCATGTGTCCCAATATTTTGTCTGTTTCATCTGGTCACCCTATCCAAACTCTACTGAAGATTAGGGCGTGCATAACCCAACAACAAGCAGGTAACAGTGGTGCAGGGAGGGAGTGAGAATGCCAGTCACAAAAGGCTAAAGTCCCAGCAGCTGGGAATCAGCACTCTAGTGCATTAACTCATTTCACCACTTCATACTAATTTCATTGCATATAAAGGAATACGCATCGGCCAAGGCTGCAAAGCCACCTAAGTGATCGTGCAAGTTTTACAAAAACCTGACAATCATCTCTGGGTGTATGAGAAGTGCAGGATCAGGATCTATACAAGTATGTATCTAACACTGGTACATCAATCTGCTTAAAAAAAAGTTTGCAAACTCTCCTTTGCAACCTGCCAAGAGCTCAGCTCAGGGTTCTGTGTTTTCCCTGCCATTAGAGCTGGTCAGAAAATACCAGTGAAAACAGAAATGGAATTTTGTGAAAACTTCAGCAATTTTTTTCCATTTTCCATCCAACTCTCCTTGCAGCAGATACTAACAGCATTATTCCCTAGTGCAGAAATAATGGGTTCCCTGCTCCATTGCAAGGATATGTGATACCATTAAAAGATACAGAAGAAACATATCCCTGATCTTTAGTCTGTAGATAAAAAGTCTTTCAGCACCTTGAAGATACAGAAATCTGAAAGCAGCAGGAAGATTCATTTAACATTTCCTACCTCTATAACCTTTACAAAATGCATAGGACTGATTTTAATTGAAACACATGCTGTATATAGTAACAGGGCACTTACTTGTATGGTCATTGGAAATATTTTCAGGAACAATGCTAATATCAAGCTGGGCAGGTGGACCCTCAGACTTACATATGCCACTTCCAGAATCAGGAGAAGTACTGACTGCTGGGTGTTTCCTGGCTGGTCGATCCCAGCGTGTGAACCAGGTGAGATGACTGATCTGGCAGCATGAAGAGCATTGTTAAAGAGAACTGCTCCTATGTTTGTTTAAAGGGAACACCTCAGCCATAAGACAGCTTTGAGGGGTTCTTACATTTTCTAAGCACTTGGGGCCAAATTCTGGTCCCCTGCCTGGGCAGCCCTACTGGAGCTGGGGAACATCCAGCGCTGATTAGGTACTATGGAAATAGATACGAGGAGGCCAAATGAAGCAAGAAACAGCTGTTTGGCGGCGGCAAGCGCTGGGAGGTAGGCGGAGGAGCGGGGACGCGGCATGCTCAGAGGAGAAGGTGAGGTGGGGCAGGGGGGGTGGGGAGGGGAGCTTGGCTGCCAGTGGGTGCAGAGCACCCACTAATTTTTCCCAGCCCCGGAGCACCCATGGAGTCAGCGCCTATGAGACAGACCCATGATCTGATACAGTATTACAAGTGTTTCCATGTGTACAGGAGGAATGAGAACGTCCATCCCCATGGGTGCATAATGGGGGCCTTATTGTATGTCCATTAAAAAACAGTGAAAGAAACCTGTTGGGGAAGACTCACCATCTCTTCCGAGGGAGGTTCTGTGCACAGGCTCACGACCACCACAGTGACAGTCGTGATGACACTGAGGATCATTGAGAAGTACAGGAAGTGCACGTATCTCACCACGGCTGGCCGGTGGTCTGGCTCCCCGCACTGGGGCTGCGGGTAGATAAAGTCCAGCACCAACCGGATGAAGCCCAGCAGCATGCCAGTCAGCAGGCCCCAGAACGCACCCTAGGAAATGAAGATCATTCCTTGATGGATACGTCTACGTCATATCTGGCAACGAAGCCCATGCTGGCTCCCGGGCTGAGTGCTGGCAGGAGTGAGATATGCTACAGTCACAACTGTGACATTCTGATCAGCACATTCTGGGGGAGGAGGGGAGGTTTACTAGGCCATTGGGAGGGTTTCTGAGATCCCCTCCATTTTCTCCTCCTTTGCTGTTCTCCCTTATACACACAGCCCCCCACGTTCTATTGACCTGCTCCTCCAGTGGAGGAGAGCCGCTCTCTAGGCCTGCTGGTGCTGTTCAATAGCCACCAGCTCCCACCTTTACAGCACTACCCACCCCAACGGTGGCCCTAGTCATGGGCTGCTTTAACTGTGGCTG